TAAGGGGCCATGAAGTGTCCCTGAAATAACTGTGGTTGCCATTCTATGTTCACCATCCCTGGAATCCTCTCCTATTCTCCCTTCCTTTAGGTCTTCTGTCTTCCTTCACATCTGCTTATGTCTTAAGTCTATGACTTCTAGACTAGGCAGCTTCTTGGAACATGGGGGGGAAATGTTTTAGCCTCCATACAGGAAACCTCAGGCCCACAGGTTCTTAAGTCTATCAATACATCTGGTTCTCCTGACAGAAGAGGGGCCAAGTCCATCCTGCCTCCACCTTCTCTGCACACCCTGGGTCTGGGCTTCTGGGGGGACTGGTGGCTGTATTACATAAGTTGCATTTTATCTACTTCTACTTCTGGAAGAGTGAGGCTGAGACCTGGGCTCTTTTCTAGGTCTCCAAGGAGTCAAAATGTCAGATGGGTGAAAGCTAAGATTGGATTCCCTTCCCACAGTCTGGTTCTTCTCTCTCCCTATAACTTTTTTATATTCTACATTTCTTTGGGATTGTAGAATTTCCCATATGATCGTAATCAGATACCTGTTTTCTGTTTACTGGGTGTTCTCAGTCCTCAGAGCACGTTATAGGGATTATGAGAGTAAAAATAGCTATAAACCATCTCTGTGTGGTTTTTCAGAGGACAGGCCTCAGGGCTGGTACCTGCCTCAGCCCCACAGACCCTAGACTCCTGCTGCTTCCTCCTCTGCTGCCCCCACTCTGACTCTCTCTTGGCCGTTTCTCAGTGCTGGTTCTTCCTCAGTGCTAAGTGAGAACTTTGTCAAGGAAGCAGTTTCTCCCCTGCCTCTAACCCCTGTAATGGGTCAAAGGACCATTCTAGGAGAGGCGTCGAACTGGGAAAGCCTAGTCTCTGCTCTCTGTTGCTGTCTGAGGGTTCTAGTCTCAGAGGGACTTGGTTTAAATCCTGGTTCCCCCTTACCAGACATGTGAGTTACTTAACCCCTCTGATCCCAGACAGCTTCCTTATATAGAAAACAAGAAATTATATCTAGGTCATAGGGATGTTGTACAAAGTAAATGAGATCCATATAGAATGAACAGCCCAGGACCTGGCACATATTCGTGACCTCGTAAATCTTTGTCCTCTTCAAAATGTCTCCCACTGTGGAAGTGACTTAGCTTTGGCCTGTAGACTGGCCTCAGAACTGGAGGCCTCCCACTGCAGCCTTTATAGCAAGAGCCATATACTCGCCTAAAAGAGCTTCAAGTTGTTAAATCAGTAAGGTGATGTGGACGTCCTAATTTCTCCAGTTGTCACGAAATGTATTAAAACAAAACTAACAGTATAAGCAGCCCCTGAAATCTGTCAGTGAGAATTTCTCAGTGTGCTGTGATATGGATGGGGCAGCCTAGCTCATGAGATTAAAACCCATGCTTCAGAAAACCAGCAGATATCATGTCCTGAGACTTGGGAATTACTCCCGGAGGGCTAAAATCTCCAACATTAACCCTCAGATGCAATGATCAGCTGACTTTTATGGCTCTGGAGAAAGGGGTAGACCTCTTCCAAAAGTGCGGCACTGGTGCCATCCGCAGTGGACAGCATCGTCCAGGCAGGGACAAGACCGCAGTGAAGGATGTGTGAGGATGGAAGCCTCCATGCAGGTGACTCCAGTTTCCACATCTTCTCCCTGAACACTGGGAAAATGAAACCTTCCAGAGAACAAGTCTGAGGTGGCTAGCTCGCCTTCTGCCCCTGATTACTTTGGGGACTATGTTCTACTTTGGGGTTGTATGCTTTAGGATATTAACAGTGGTTTAATGGGCTTTTTTTTTTTCCAGAAGAGAAGGAGTTCCTTCCTTTTTAAAAGAAAAATCAAATAACAGCATTAGCACCACTATATTCCTGTGGAGCATTCTGGTTCAATGACAAATTTAGAATGGGAACAGCAGGTGATCTCCCTGTAGAGGCCTGCACCCTGAATTGTCATCTGACAGACTACTGTAATAAAACTGGGTTGGGGAGGGCTGAAGGAAGCTCTCAAATTTTCATATGATAAATACTTTGAGGATATCAGTATATAAGACTGAATTCTGCATCTCTGCACTGACGAGTGTTGATATTTAGGAAGGAAGGTAAGTTCTGGGTCTACAGTGCTGGCTCAGGGATCCTGACTTATCTATAAGGTACAATGAGGTGCTCTTTAAGCCTCTCTGACCCTATAGTTGATCAATACGCAGTACAGTGTCTAGGATACAGCAGAGTAACATTAAAACTGATAAATGACAGACACATAGACCAATGGAATAGAATAGAAACCCCAGAACTAGACCCACAAACATATGGCCAACTAATCTTTGACAAAGCAGGAAAGAATATCCAATGGAAAACAGACAGTCTCTTTAACAAATGGTGCTGGGAGAACTGGACAGCAACATGCACAAGAATGAA